TAGCCTCACATCCAAACTGTAGAAAGTTCTGGAACCTTTAATTCTTTGGTAACCCATTTGGCAGCAGATTTTTTACCTGGCCTGAATTGTTGAGGGTAATTGTATCCTGTATGTTCATCCAGTTGGGTGAGCATATTCTTGTGTCCTGGTGCAGAAATTCTAATGATTGATCTGGGGGTCTACCATAATACGGCGTAGGCACTCTCTTGCTTCTTAAAGATCCAAATGCTTCTGACTTCTGAAGCTCGCCTGGCCCCTGGGTGCTGGATAAGTGCAGTGGGCCTCTGCTAATGGTACTTGATGTTGGCCGTGCACTTCTGATGATCAGAGGGTGGGGCCCGTGGAATTGATGGAGGGCATGTGACCAGGGTGTGACGGCGTGACCCTGTCACCCTCGGGTCGGGCTGCCAGGAGTTCCCTGGGGGAAGGGTGAGCAGCCTTACCAAACGGTGTACAGGTCTGGCTCCAGGAACCAGAGCGAGGCTTACCTTAGTCCTGCCGCTTACCTCCTTCTGGGGCCTGGGGTGGGCGCTGTGGGGCTGGGAGTCACCTCTACGCTTAGGATATGCCACTTGATGTCCGAACCATTGGTTTCCCCTTTCAAAAAAAAAGAAAAGAAAAAACCTTAAATATGCCCAAAGCTACTGAGGAAATAATCCAAGAGCAGTAGTAGGTCTGAGACATTTACAAAATTGACTTCAGTGAGCTTATTTCCCACAATTGATCTTCCCCCCCAAAAGCTTCCTTTTCTTCCTTAAAATGCAGTTTTAATAATTTTGTTGTTCGTTGTGCTAGTATGTCAATCATTTCCCGAAGGCTAAGCCAGTGTTTTTCCCGTTGATCCCTGACCCCTATAGAATATTTCTTCAGATAGACTTTACCGAACAAAATCCAGATCCCCTGTACAGAGGATTCTACCCAGCCGTCTCCCCAAGAAAGGAATCTGTTGTTCCAGTTTGGCTTCTGAAAATGCTGGAACAGGTCCTTTTGGTGGTAGCCTGAGGACCACTTGACTCCACTGGGTCTCGATGAAGAGTCGAGAGTGTTCTGGGCAGTTGGCCTCGGTGGATCAGCATTGTCAAGGCACTAAATATGCTGACCTTGGCCTGCCAGCAGGTACCTGGCCTGCTGCCCTGCTGGGTCACTCCCAGGTTGGTGAGCAAGCCTGTGGCCATCACTAGAGCCTTGTAGGATGGGGCAAAGGAGACCTGAGGAGTGGTGCCATCATCCCCTCGGGGATCCCAGCTTGGAAAGGTGGCAGCCGTTGTTGTACCCACGCTGTTGGGGGGCCGTGGGGGCCTTTTCTCCTTGCATTGGATCATCTCAACCTCTCAAGCCGAAACTCTAACCCCCTTGCGGGCAGAACTGTGCAATATATTGAGGATTCATCGTACAGCTTGGTCTCTCTTTATTAACGTAATGTTTAAGTAGATTTCCTTAAAAAGAATTGAAGGTGATTGTCATGGTTTTAGAAGAATTTTCATTTGGAAAGACATCAATTACTGGGTGTAACTTCTTATCGTCTGCCTAATATTTATGGAGACTAGGAATTAGAATAAAGAAACTGAGGGCATATTTTAAAACTTGTGATTTTACGAATGTAAATGAGTAAGGACTCGGGGTTTCTGTGCGTTGTGGAGTTTGGTCCGGGCAGGTGGGCTGTTAATGGTCCTATTCAGTAAAAATCAATCCACCCAGATTTTAGACCTTGTTGGATGAGGGGAACAACCCATTTCTCTTGTACTCGCTTTTGGGTGTTTGTTTTGTGTTTGATAAACAAGCAAGTGGTCATAAAATGAAGTGCACTTCCTGTTTGCTGCCCCTTTTAAATCTCCAGTTTCTCGTGGAAACCCACAGGGAACACATCTCCCACCCTTGCGGCTGCTTTCTGGTGGCGACCAGAATCTAAGTATCTTTCTCATGCAGGCATCTTTCTCCTTCTACAATGAGCCAGATTCACTGACCGCAGACCTTTCAGCCCTGGATCACCCCTCATCTCGAGCTAATGGAAGGTCAGGTGGGCCCTTCTGTGGTTTGCCCTGCAATTTTAGGATCTCCCTTTTGGAGGAGAAGACGACGGTGGTTTTTCTGTAAGATTTGGCATTGGTGATCCTACTTGTGAGAAGACCTGACTTTCCTTCTGACCCTTCTCGAGTTCCACTGAGGTCGCCCTCCCAGCCTCAGCCGGAGGGAGCGGTGTCCACGGCTGGCTACCGCGGGCAAGGAACGTAAAAACATCCCTTTTTTTACAAACACGGAGCCTGCTTCCCCTCGGTCATTACGCAAGTAGGTTCTAGAATTCTGCTCCCCCCTGTGACAACACCATGACCGTGGTTCGAAGTTGTATGGTTTGCACTAAAGAAGGACAGTGGGACACATCCCCCCTCCTTTTTCTCTTCTATGTGTACCTCGATTTGTTGTTAAACACGGACTTGAGTGATGATAGTGGTGATCAATTCAGGGGCAGAAAAGGGCCTGATTTGTGAGTGGAGACCGGTATAAGGTAAAGGCGGATGGTGGCTTTCACAGCGGGCGCTGCCCGGGGAGCCCGGGGCCGGCATGGAGGGCGCAGGGTGCTGGCCATCCCCGTGTGGACACCAGCTAGAGACCGAAGCTCGTGGCTCCACTCTGAGGAGGGCCTGTCCCTGTCATCAGGAAGAGGGGTATGCTAGTTAAGTCCTCATAAATAGCTTGCTCCCCGGGAGAGCCAAGGAGGAAAATGTCACATTTCATACATTCTTGCTTCAAAAGATATACTGAGGGGAAAGGGACGAGGCTCTGTGAATCAGCGGTCACTGCCACGAGGTCCTGACCGGGCTCTGCCTGGTGGCCTTGTGAGTCTCAATTCACTGTCAGCATGGGCGGGTGCCACAGCCAGGGGGGGCCCCACAGAGGGGCCAGCATAGAGACCCCCCCCACACACACACCCAGCCCCAAAAATACCCAGACGTGGGAGTCCATTGCCCTTTTTCTTCTTTTTTTTTTTTTTTTTTTTAAATAATAGGACGCAGACTATTTGTGTAAGGCGATGCCTGATCTTTCTTTGGATTGCATAATCAAGATTCTACTTATCAATTTTTCAGGACTCCATCTAATTATACAAATTAAAATTCAAAGCAAAGCAAAAAGAATGATTAGGCCTCACTTGGGGAATGGGAGGAGGAGGGTGTGAAAGCTGGCTTGCCTAGGATGATAATGCTGTCATTTTTCATCTCTAAGGCACTTCACAAATATTAACTAATTAATTCTCTCACCCCTCGGCTAACACGAGGTTCTGACTTCACGCGGGCATGGAGGAGAGGGGCCACAATACAGCCTGATGAGCAGAACTCGGGACCCAAGCGGATGGAAATTGCCAGGCCGAGCTCTGGGGCCCGGGGCCGCCCCGTGGGTGTCTTGTGAGCACCAGCATTCGTGTGCAGGGTTGAGGCCTTGCTGTCCCTCTGTCTGGGACTCTTGTCTCCAGTTTGCTTGAGTTAGGAACCCCTTTCGCTCCGTGCCTTTCCTAAAGCCCAGTAAAAGCAAAACCAGAATTTTTTATAACGTGTCCCTCACATCTGCACCGGGGACCTCCCAAGTGTTGGTTGACCCACTTGCTTTCGGACAGCCTTCATCCCCTCCCTAGTCTGGTGTGGCCAGTGCAGGTTTGGGGAACTCCCCAGGTTTGGGTAGGGCTTAGTATCCCTGGGATGTTGCATTAATTATTTATGTGATTGGAAATTGTGCTTTTTCCTAGCTCTTTTAAAAAAAAATCGTGTAATTATTGCCATAAATCTTTGGGGTGCGCCTCATTGCTGGGAAATAAGCCATTAACTACCAGGAAGTCTGCCTTCTCCTAGTCAGACCTGTATTCTGACCTTTGATAAAGTAACTCCCAGCGTTTTTGCATAATTGATGACCATACATAATAATCCTCATTATTAACCCTGGAGCCTCACTTTTGTCTTCTATCCCCCTCATTTGCTGGGTAACTAAGGACAACTTTTTCTGTGCGTGTGCATGTTGTTAAAATAAGACCACAGCAGTGAGTCAAAAAAGCTCGGACATTGTGGGGGGCAGATAGTGACTTGGGGCCTCAACTGGTACGTTGGATGAGCAGGAAGTGATGGTCAGAGTCTTCCAGAACACCCAGCCTCCCTCCACAAACGAGCTGGGCAGCAGCTCCCCATTCCTCGGGTGGCATGTGGCTCTCCCTCTGGAGACTCCTGCAGCCCTCAACCCAAATGGGAGCCACCCCTCCTCTGCCTCGTTTCTGCCCGAAATGCCACGGGCTGGCGTGGGCCCGGTCGCCGCTGCCCGGTGTCAAGGCCAGCAGCCTGGACACGGCCGTCACGATGCCATCTGTGGCTCCCTCCAGATGCCAAGGAGGCCCAGGAAGGTGGCCCTGGACCAGCACTTTGCTTAAGTGGTTAGGTGGCGCGTGGCTTCCCGCCCCATCCTCTTACGGTGGGGTCAGGGCCAGGTGTCGTGCTGAGCAGCGGCTCTCGGGGGGAAGTCGCGTAAACTGCCTGGTGGAAGGCCTTGAGAGAACTTGTCCTGCAGCCCCAGCTGGGTGTCTGTATCTCAGTGCCAGTGGGCCTGGGACCTGATCCCCTGATGCTGTCCCCCCCGAGGCTCCGCCCCTCTGTTCAGCACAGGGCAGGCCCAGCTGGCCCCATAGCGTGGTCTCTGGCGTCGGAGTACGAATTACTAACAGGTCAGGTTGTCGGCAGTTGGCGTGGACGGCCCTGAAGTTAAAAGCACGAGCTCTAGATGCTGCCATTTACTGCTTGCAGACGCAAGTAACAATCGTCTTGTGCGTCCGCTCCCTTCCTGTCTGAGACGGAGCGTGGGAGACCGGGACAGCGGACTAGAACCACCTCCATCTCCCGTGTTGGAGGGAAGAGAGCGAGCACTGGTGGCAGCTCCCCTTGCAGGAAGGGGCAATAAAATCCTGAATGACCTGTTGTCCTTGCCCCCAGGCTGTCCAGAGAGTAAGGATTCTTTTCTCCTTGTTTCAGGGTTCATAGTGGCGTAATGCCCGCAGACTCCTGCGCGTTCCCCTAAGTTCTTAGAGGACCGCTTTGCCTTTTGAATCAGAGAGTTGCAAAGTTCGATAAAGAATGGCCCTTGTGGATAAGCACAAAGTCAAGCGACAGCGATTGGACAGAATTTGTGAAGGTAAGAGCCAGCGTGATTGGCGGTTTGTAACCAAAGGTGCGTAGTCCCGCCCTGGAACCCTCGCCCCGCTCACCGCTGACCCGTGGGGACCTGGTTCCCGGTTCAGACTGAAACCCACTGCAGCCAGAAACCACCCCCGGCCCTAGCACCCCCCACCCGGGTCCTGGGCCTGACCTGCCTGGCCCAGACCTGACCTGCGCGCAGGGGTGCCCGGCTCCCGGGGGAGGGGGTGGGGCTAGGAGGACAGCTGGGGAGGGAGTGGCCCTCCATCTGTTTCTTGCGCACACCCTAAGGTCACCCTGCAGATGAGAGGACACCATCTAACAGGGCCATCTTTTTTCACTTTCTGAGGTTCTGGACTTTTATCTGTTTCCGATTAAGGTATTCCCAGTGATGAATTCCAAGATACTCCTGAAGAGCCCAGCGTTGCCCCTCATTATGTGTTCACATCCCTGGTATCTTTGAAAATGTCTGGAAGTGTTTTATTCATGAAAGGAAAAATAAACATAATTAAAATCTAATGGAAACCTGGGGACGAACCTCTGAGATGTTGATTAAACACCATCCCCTCCTAATCAGGGAGCGGGAAGAAATCCAGAGCGCACGGCCTCGGGCGTGGGGTTGAGTGCTCCTGGCAGCCATGGCCGCGCTGCCCACTGGGTCGGCCCAGCCTTGTGACTGGTGACTTGGCTGCAGGGTCTGTGATGGGGGCTGCAGAGGACAGCCCCCCACCACCCCCGCCCGGCAGGGTGGGCTCTGCAGCTCCCCCACCCCGCACACGCTCGCACTCTGCTTGGACCACCAGCTGCGCACATGGAACGGTTGGTCCAGCCGCACGGGGTGGAGGCATCAAGGACGTGTTGTACCGGATGACTGTGTGCCCGGCAAGAGCTCCGTGACACCAGAGCGTAGCACTGTTCACTGGCCCTCCCATAGCCCTGGGTTCTGCTGCCGTGTCGGGGGTTTGGGATTTAAAGGTTTTGCTAAACATGGCAGAAGTTTGAAACCTACAGAAAGATCGATGGACTAGAAGGGACACTGAGACTCCCTTCAACTGCATGTACCAGCTGAGAACATTTGCTGTCACTTGCTTTCCTATAGATGTACAGATAGTGATACGTGTGTGTGTATATATGAATGGATGGGTGGACTTTCCAGAACCATCGAAACGAAAGTTGAAGATGTGGCAGTTCACTCCCAAGGACCTATGGCATGTGTCCCCTTTTAGGACCTCTCCTGATGTAAACACAGTGCCATAATCCCCCCCCCCCCCCGCCCAGGGGACTGAACCTCACTGCAGCATTCTCTAATACAGACCGCCTATTTTCATTTTCCCCGTGCATCTGTTTCCAGCTGCTTGGTTTGTGCAGAAACTCATCAAGGGACCCCTTTAGTTGCCATGTCTCCTTGGTCCCCTTCGTCTAAACATTTTTTCTTGGCCTTTTTGACTTTCAGAAGCACTGACACTCCTTGAAGAGCCCAGGCGAACTGCTTGGTTGGTCGGGTCCCACCATCTGGGTTCATCCGATCCTGTGGGGATTTATTCAGTTTACTTCTCACCTCTGGTGGAAAGGTGCTTCGTTTTAGGTTACTGTTCGGAAAACTTAGTGAATCAACTCTCCAAGGCTCGTAGGCAGAATGCCTGTGTGCTGATTTTGCCTCCACCCCCACCCCACCCCAGGATCCCAGGATTTATCTAGACGTACCCCATCGGGGACGAGAATGGGATTGGGGAGCCTGTGGCCTTTCCCCTCTATATTGTTAGGGCTGTCCGCAAGGGCAAAACCATTGACGGCTCTTTCAGACCCCCTGTCCTGAGCATGATCCATCGACCTCCCACCCGCTTTTTATAACTGAAGTTTCAGTATCTGCTTCATCCGTGAATGACATTCCTGAGCTGGTTGCGGCTACCATTTTTAAAATTTCTCAGTAGGTGCCATCAAGACAGACATGTGAAATTCACTTACTCGGGTGTTACTTGTAATCCACGATCCCAGACGTTGGCTTGCTGTCCCGTTCTGGGTAACAGCTGCTGTAAGGTGGTTCGTTTGTGACCCTCGTGTTGAGGCACCGACTTAGCAGGTTTTTCGGGCCAGGACAGGTGGTGCTCATTTCCCAGCTGCGACCAGTGAGGCGCAGAGCAGTCGGTCTGTGTGCCCCTGAACCCGGGCAGTCTGCTGTTGCTTATCTGGTCTTTCTCTCAGATCAGTTCCGTGGATTCAGTTCCTCCTGAAGGCCTCATGCATCTGCATCTCTGGCTTCTGACTGTTACCAGTATCTGTTCTGTAAACCCGAGCTGACCGCTCTTTAATATTCTTCTAGAACGTCCATCACGCCCCGCAAACTATGGTCTCCTTCCCTCTGCCAATGTCCACCCCGCCCCCCAGGACTTCCTATAGCTCCTTGTTTTTGATTTTTTTGATTAAAAGCATGAAAGCTGCCTTGCTCTGTTGTAGCCGCTCTGGGTTCATAGGAACTTTGTCATCTCGGCTCTTGGTCTCTGGGAACAAATCTCCAGAATTCTGTCCTCCCGCCTACCTCAAGACCCCAGCACAAACCCCGGCTGTGGGATCCCATGCCAGACAGGCCCTCCTGGGTCCCACTCCTTCCCCCTCCCTCACTTTAATGAACACTTTTGCTCCAGCCTAGCCAGTCTGGTGGAATCTGAGCATTATCCCTGCATGGATGCTGCTTCCAGAATTCCTGCCTGCCTTCCAAGGCCCAGCCTCTTCCTCCTGGAAACTTCAAGGTCTCCCTGTGGCCACTCCTAGCCACTCTGCCCTTTGTGGCTCTGAGTCGAAGCCAAGGGAAAACAGGGTAGAGGGCAGAATCGGACTCGGGCTGCACCTTCTCATTTCCCTCCCCCACCCCACCCCCACCTCCATGGGATGTTTCTGTCGTGCTTTAAGCACAGAGCAGAGTATAGCTTTGCTTCTCACCAGCCGGTCTTTGGGACTCCATCCAAATCAGTTGGAATAATGGTCTTTCAAGCTGACTTAAAAGCCAGATTTTAATCTTTCTTTTTAAAGTGACCGCTCTATTTTGATATTTATAGTTTGTTCTCTGCTCTTACTAATGCCTGATATCAAACAGTCCTAGAGTGCTGTTGTGTAAGAATTCTTATGGAGCAGGGTGTGAAAACAGGCACTGGTCAGGGCCAGGCTGCCATCTCCCCTTTTTGGTGTATAATTTAGGTCTTGGTTTCCCACTCTGTTAAGTTTGCTGGCATAATTGATACATTGCATTTGCGAATTGCACCATCAGAGTTTCACTGTGTTACTACATCATGGCAGAGCTGGTGTAATTTTGCCCCAAATATCTGTTGGTCAGAGAAAGGGCTTGCTATCATTCAGTATTGCAAAAGTAGCCCAGAAAAGCATTTTCTGGAAAGCATTTTCTGGGTTTGTAGAAGGGTAATATACCAGAATGGCTTTGCTGATGACTTTTTGTTAGAACACGTTATTATGGGTTATGGTAGAATAAATCACTAAACACCATCCTTTGCTGTGGCTATGGAGAATGTAATTTGGAAAATGTAGATATTTCATCTTACTTTATTTTGTTGGAACGTCTTACACACGTGGAAAAATGGTCTTGGTGATTGCATGAGTTGAGCTGTGATTAGCACCCCCTTTGTAACATAACTCAGGAGAGGACTCTCCCCTTCCTCTATAGGAGAAAAGTGAATGATGGGAACCTCCTTTTAAATAAACCATCCTATCCAACATGTCTTGTCTCTAGGATATTTTCATGATGAGCATAGAGGTAGAAGGAGGTGAGAAGGTGGGCTGGTTGCATGGACATGGGGAAAATAGAGACCAACTGCTATCCGTTGAACACAGGAGTAGTTCTACATTCTGGGAGTCTTTCTATGTCAGTTTCGTCACCAAGGAGGACAAGAGGAGTCAGAAGATGTTGCACAGATGAGGTAAAAGAAGACTTTCCTTCAGTGGCGTTCTCCTCTTCTCAATGGGATGAGCGTGTCACTGTGAGAGAGTACTACATCTCAATGTGGCGTGCCCCTAAGAAAGTGTATTCATGGTCCCAGAATATCCTAGAAGCAAAGATGTCTCCGAGCCTCCAGGTTTTCCAGATGGCTGAGGTGGTAGAGGCATTGGGGCGCCTGGGGGATCTTCCCTCACAGCAGCTTTCATTCCACTGCTCACACCCACGGGAGCCCATAGAGTGGGACTGGCTGGTATTTCCCTACAGATAGAGAGGAGTCAGCAGACTCAGACCAGAATCACTTCGTCTTCTATTTGTAGGCTATTTTGTTGTACCTGTTTTGGTCTTGAAAGCACTTACCAGCACTTTGTACAGAAACCGTGTTGAAGCTCGCCATCTCTAGGTAGTCCACGATCGTTTCTAATAAATACCCATTTTTAAATAGCCCCAAAATGTGGATTTTAAAAGGGGGATTCATAATGTTGCCATACATTATAATTATATGTTTGGCTCAGGCAATTATGCACATTTCCAGTAATTATGTGATTAGCGATAATTACATTAGCTATGTAAATATACAATAGTCAACTAGACATGACTTTAAGCTCCAAGCATAGACAAATAGACCGCAGCAATGTGCTCCATGTAAAGGATCAGTGAAGGAAGGGAGTGTGGTCAAGTTGAAGCTTAATGGAAGTTATCTGCAAGGGATAAAAATCCACATTTTCCCTTATCTGGTCATGGCTCCTCCCCTGGGGTGCCCGCTGTCTGTCAGCTAGGGATTGGGTTCCTAGAACTGCGCACATTCAGTCAGGCCCTCACTTTCTGCAGATGAGAATCAGGTTAAGTGTTTTCTTCTCTATTGCTACTCACCTGTAAAATGCAGACTTCAGCGTCTCTTTGCACTTGATTCACCAAGTGGACTCTCTCGCTGCAGCTGCCGGATTTCTTTTAACTCCCCATGTTTCCACGAGCAGCGTGTCAGGGCCGCCCGTTTCCACCTGGGGTGTGGGGGTGTGGTGTTTAGCTAGTGGCTGGTGCTTCTGCCCTCTCTC